CATATAAAACGATTCTCTGATGTCGAATATAAACATAATCTCTAGTTTGAGCAACCGTAAACAAAAGATGGGCAAAATTCGTATTAAGATAAACATTTCAAATAACGAATAAAAGACGGCTAATTTTATGCATTTACGATGAATATGAATCTGAAAAATATATACCAAATGAAATATTCATATATATAAAGTGTATACTATATTCATTTTATACGTTGTATAATTAGCACACATCGTAAATGCATAAAATATGCACTCTCAAAATTATATAAACAGACACTGATCCGTGTGACTGTTGAATCAAATGAATATCGTTAATAAATCACTACACTATGTCTTCATTTGTTATCTACTACTTCAATAAAATTTTGCTCACCTCTGATGTAAATGCACGACCCAACTGTGAGACAAGACAATCCTAATTCAACCTGGTGTCAGTCGAAGGTTAAGTACGAAGCAGTCGAAGTCGATTGAGTCAAATAAATACGAATTGATCCGTTTTTATCGGTGAAAATATGTAATTAGAATTAGAGACAATGACTTACAGGTACGTTTAACTGTCTATTGTCTAGTGATGCTGGTTGTTTGGCAAAGAGCTCGCCGTTGCCTGAGTTGCAGCGGGCAACGCACCAACCAAGGCTACCAACCGCGCCGCCATCGTGGATCATTCGATGATAGACTCAAACGATATCAACTCGTAGGAAACGGGTAAGTTCTCATAATTCGTTACTTGTACACGTGCGAGAATAGATCCATCGATATCGATCGTTAATCTCAACTTTCATGCTATAAATTTCATTCTATCGTTTTCATTAGTATTATTATCGATAGAGTTTTGAAAACTAGTTGGATCGGAAAGGCTTACTATCCTTACTAAAGAATTACTTCGAAAAGATTAGAGATAGATGGTGCTTATCCGTCAATTTGATATTGTAGAATTTCCAGATGATATTTCATACCGCTATCGTACATTGCAAAACATTATTTGATTGTAGATTGTCGTTTTTATTGAACAAATGACGAATCAAAAGATATTTATCTCTTATTCGTTATGCGAAATTTTATATTATCTAGAATTTGGCCCATCTCTGCGACAGACTGTACGTTGGTGCTACCTAGCGGTTGTTTTTTGAACTTCGCAAATACTTTATGGGCAGTAAATTGTAAACACTGGAAAATATGTAAACACCTATCTCAGAATTACTTTAAGACACCGTACCAAACGTACTCGTGCAACATAAATTCACTTGCACGATATAGTCTGATTGTTCGTTAGTTTTTACACTAGGAATCTCGTTTACATTCAACTCATTTTTATGTTAACATTCACGGCGAAATCAAGGGCAAACTCTATCCATATTTAGCCATATTTAATGCAAGCCGATTGAAGGGTTAAATTAAAATTCATTAAGTTCGCAGGAAATTTTGCAAACTTTGAATGATACTGATATTGTCAAAATAAAAAATAATGAATATAATTACATGTCCAATCGCTACCAGTCTTTTTGTTTATAAAATAATCCAATTACAATTTAATTTGTACAAACAGTTTATACGTTTTACTTTGCGCGATAAGACTCAAAATATCTTTCCTTGAAGGATTAATTCAATCGGAGTTTTCGATGCTTATTAATTATGAAATGGCAAACAAACGAACGCCATTACGAGAATAACTTCTCTTATCGGTTGGTCCCGAGTTCATTGCACGTAAGTGTTTAGTATGGCACTTTAAATCAGTCGGATGCCAGTGCTAGTAAATCACACTTTACGTTATTACGTTCGTGAGTGTATGTGCACGTTCCAACGCGTTCGTACACGCGCGACCATAAGCGCGTTAGGGAACATTGTGTCAACGCACTTAGAGGAGGGGAGGGGGACTCAAGTAATCCTCCACTCTCGTTGACCCAGCCAATTGATCGAATCGTTTAATCGTGGAAAAATTTCGCTACACACGAAATCGTTGACGCAAAACACCGACTTTGCGAGGTCACTTCAATAATAAATATACATAAAACATAATTTACCCACAAATCAAACAAAAATATTTGCTATTTTCTTGTCAGTCTCCCCCTCGGTATGTAATTATCTACAATAATAATGCAATGTTGGCTGTCTGTACTCAGGACAGTGCCTAATTAGTATTTTGGCGATTAACCTCATTTTTAATGACGATTGATCTCAGTTGATCTATGCCTAAGCATTTATTGCAACAATTAGTGACATCTGTCACAGGGCATTACAAGCAGTTTGGCAGTAACACAAGATCGCGGTTGATAAAAGATTTCACTCTCAAGAAAGTATGATTACCGCAATTGAACTCTAAACAACTCGAGGCACGCGAAGTACATTCTTTATATCTAGAGAGAACGATCGAGGATCGAAAAGGTTAAATACACGAATATAGGTTATGATTGATCATACAGCATCGCAGCATACATACATAATTCGGTAATTGTTCCAGTGACAAATGGCTACACAAAGAAACCAATGTTGAGAGATAATTCAGTTAATGGTCGTTGCGACAATGAACTACTTAGATTCTTCGAGGATTTTTTTAACTTAGCACAGATTAGAAAAATATCGAGACTTTGTTACGTCAGAAATGCTGATTCGAATTCCTATTCTTTTGGAAATTTCTGTATCTTAAACTGCGGATCTTCATTGATTTATGGAAAATTTGAATGTGCAAGAATCTAGAAAATGCAAACAATATGCAGGAATATAAAAAAGATTGAAAGTAAAGTTCGTGTTATAATATTTGCAGAATAAAATAAATTCCTATTTAGGTTCGATTTTTGTAGGCACGTTCGCGAGGATTTTATTTTGCGTAAAGATCCGCAGTCTGGTCATAAGAATCGTACAAATACTTATTGCTTCGATACTTTTATCCACTTTTCCTATTTTTTTTTGTTAATTTCACAAATTATATTAACTAGTAAATGTTGTTTGGACTACATCTATCATAGAGATTTCCGAGAATATATAAAATATCATTGATCATAAACGAAGAAGTTAAGAAACTACAACTTCACACAAATTTTGGGGAGAAATTGATCGGTGTACGAATACATTCTACACCCACTGTATGTATATTATTGTTGATATTTTGTAATATGATACTGTTTGTTTATAATAACATCCAGTCATTCTTTACGACATTAAAGTAAAGATTGAAATCCAAACGAAACAAAAAACCACTGAGAAATTACGCATCTTCAACGAGATCAAAGATTCTCGTGTCTCGAATAGCCGATGCACTACTGTTCTCAATTTTCGCTTGCGCATGTTATAAATTATCAAAGTTAATTACTAGGTACGCGACAATCGAGGTTAGTTTAAGGAGACAATAGAATTGGTCGCAATCGGTAGCGACAAGTTCGTAATTACCGCGAATAAGTGTCGATAGGGGGGGCCATAAAACTTCGCCCGATTCATGCCGGTGCGCCAGTCTGCGATTGAACGTCGGAGCGCTCGTACCTCGGCAAAGGTCGCGCCAGCTCGTACGTTCCCAGTGCCGTACGCTCGCCCGTGATTTACTTCCAGTTGTCCAACATTTTCTCGTATTTTACCGTATAATTTTCGCCAATCAACCCCTCGTCGCGATCGCGCACTCTAATACCGCGTTTCTTCGCTACGACCGTTCCAATCGTTGACCGTATCAAGCCAAAGAATAGCCGTGAAGTGCGCGTACATAACCTCCAACGATATTAGCTAGATGACAAGAAATAATCGACGCTGTCACAGATTCTCGAGGCACGTGTGTAGAAGTGACTAGATATTTCGTCGTCCACGCGATCGTTTCGTGCAACAAGTTCGCTTAACTTACGTGATCAATAAGAATCTTCGTGTAGTATTACGGGACATATTCTTTTCGCGCGTGAAACGCGTGGCGACTCGAAGGTGATATATTTATGGTGCTTCGGTTCGAGTCGAGTTGTTTCTTCGGTGGAATAGTGTCGAGGTTAAGGACATTCCGAAGCAGTGTCCAGTAAGGTCGTCTCGGCACGGTACGTACACGATATTTTTCATTGTCACTTGGAAAATGTACGGTGATTTCACGAGAGAAATGTTTGTAAATACGTATACGTTAGTGAGTTTCTTTTTAATTAATATTAGGTTGTCCCAAAAGTTTCTTTCGTCGGTTACATTCAATTATTTTCTGTGGCAGTGTTTATATAAATAGACGATTTAATTTCTTAGACATTGATGCTGTAACTGTAATGGAGCGAAACGAATTGTACACAATTTTGTAATGTAATATAAAACATCAATTATTGTGTATGTATTAATTATTAATAAAACGAAAGAAACTTTTCGGACAACCTAATATATGTGACGCTGAGAGTCGTAAAGAGAACACGTTTAGTTAAGATTCAAGATCCTATAATGGATACAATTTGGAGACGATATAACACCAAACCAAATACAAAATATAAAAATATTAGAAATGCTGAATTTTGTTGAGAAGTTAAGGGGTTAGTCGCAGTCAGGAAAATGAAAACTGACACTTTCTTGTGCGTTCTTTTTCAGGTATTAAATAATAATTTTTATTAATGAGATCGTAAATATATTACAAAGTATGTTTTAAGGAACTATAAAAGAATTTTTGTTTTAAAAAATAGTTCATTCATTTCGTCATAAGAGGCGATTACGTGGGTGGCCACTTGGTTTGGGGTGAGCAAGATTTCGTCAAACTGGTGTACCTGAAAACAAAAATAAACGTAGATTTGGAGAATATATTAAACTAACGGGTCCCTGATCGAAGGATTTTTTATTTTCTTATATACTTTTCTTTTTATTCTCTATTTAATCACTTCATTTTATAATGAAAATTGAACTTGAACTTCAAATGTACGTCACTTTGTTTTAAATTAATTTTTTCCAAAATCCTTCGATCAGAAACCCGTTGGTCTAATATATTCTCCAAATCTACCTTTATTTTTGTTTTCAGGTATACAAGTTTGGAGAAATCTTGCTCACCGCAAACAAAATGGCCATTCACACCATCGCCACCATTATAGTTCTTAAAGATATATTTTGGCATATATCTAAATTTCATTAATAAAAATTATTATTTAATACCTTAAAAAAAAAACACAAGAAAGTGTCCGTTTTCATTTTCCTAATTGCGACTAACGTAAAGTAAAGTAACTAATCCATGTTTGTACATAAGACCACGATTCTCAGCTTTTCGTATATACAAGTGGGTGTAGAAAGTATTCGTACACCTATGATAAATTGTAATTTATTAACTTATTTTTTTATAAACAATGACATTCTACATATTCTCGGAAATCTCTAGAATAGATAGATTACAAACAAAAATAGCTATTTATGTAAGTTGCGAGATTAACAAGAAAAAAACAATTAATCGATAGAAATATCGAAGCAATTCGCACAACTGTTTAATTTTTTAAACTTGATTAAAAACAAAAGAAATTTACATTAATTTACAAATATATAGTACTTCCTTCGTGGGATTTCCTTTTGATTTTATAATTATTGTAACTCTTCTAAGCATTAAATTAACTAAATTATTAGTTAGAAGTTGATAAGAAGTGGGATGTTCTTCAATTCCTCTATTAGAGGCTTTTTTAAAAGTACTTTACTGGAAATTTGAAGCTTTCTAATTCGTACGGAGCAATAAACTAATGTGTTTACTTTACAAACTCTACTGAAAATGGTTCGTCATAAGAATCGTATAAATACTTATTGCTTCTATACTTTTACCCACTTTACGCATTCTTTTGTTAATTTCACAAATTATATTAAGTAGTAAATGTTGTTTGGACTACATCTATCTTAGAGACTTCCGTGAATATGTAAAATATCATTGATTATAGTAAAAGATGTTAAGAAACTACAATTTCACACAAAAGTTTTTTGGCAAATTGATCGGTGTACGAATACATTCTACACCCACTGTAATTGTTTAATTGTCGTCGGAATGTTCTTCATTTGTAAGATATATTTTATTACCGATTAATTACGCTACAGTCGAGTGGATCGATCGTTTCGATGATATATTTCTTCAGACGGAAGGAGAATCGATTGTCATTGTTATTGAGCTATATTTCTAAAACACATTCTTTGTCTCCAATGGAAGTACGTCTTTGCAATCCATGCTAAACTAGAACAAACTGGAACGTTATATTCGCGAACCATTATGAAAAAATATAAGGTTAATTGCGCCCTTAATTGAGCACCAATTATTCTATCGCGACAACGAGGGCGTTCGGTTCCTTTCGTGACTATTCGGGTCTTCTCGGTGCATTCAAATCTATTTGGCAAAGATTAATTAACGAACACGACGTAAAATTTGATGTAAAAGTAATTTAAACATTTTCGGCCCTTGTCTCAACGAAGAGACGAAATCATTTTATTAGAATACTCGAGCCAACTTACACACCACCAAACTGAACATAACTAATAAATAGATATAAAATACAATTGGTAAAATCTAGTTTACTATTCAAATTATATTTAATGTTCCGGAGAATCGTTATATTTCGAAGCACAGAGTGTTTTTTGCTTTCTTCCTTATCAAAGCACATAGTCACAACGATAAAAATGAAAATTCTGTCTATGCGGTTCGTAAGCATATCGCGCGAGGTACAGTTACAGAATAATTTGTTCGGTGGACACGTGCTCCGTCGTCGGCAATTTTCGCTGATCTTCGCGTAAACTCGACGTCTGTCTGGCCGTTATATAGACCACACATACACGTCGATCTAAACCAGTTCATACTGGGTTGTCGACGAGTCTGGATCGTCGAGTTCCAGAGCCTATCATGAAAAATTGATAAAAAAAAAAAGGGGGACTTTTAACAAACACTGACTATCATTTGTCGTTCTTTATCCCGTTCACTCTTGCCCGAATATTTCATTCCTTCGTCAGCCATTTGTAGCTTCGTTCTCTCGGTTTACTTGAAAATTGGTTAGTTCTTGAGTTTTCGTTTGGAACGCCGTGACGGCGCGACTGAGATACGTACAGTGAGCATAGAAAGTATTTGAACACGGTTGAATTCGTCTTTTTAACGTGTCA